GGGATGGGTGGAGGAGTGTGGATTATGCCATTGAGAGCTTTTGGCCCAATTTTGAACAAGACCAAATAATTTCCTTAATTTCCCTTCTTTATTTCTTTCTTCTTTTCTTTTTCTTTTGATTTTAAAATTCTAATTGAATTAATTAAAATCCTAAACAAACTAACTAAAATCCTAAATTAGATTCTAAATTAATCTATTTTGTAAAATTATCCTTAACTTATTTTCTATTAAATTATCACTAAATAATTAAGACTGAAGACTAAAAATATAAACAACCATTGTATTTTGTTATTTTTATTTAATAATGCAATTAATAAACAACTTAAATCCTAAACATGCAAATAAAAACCTAAAATGCAATGCATGAAATTTTTGACATTTTTGTGGTATTTTCTTATAATTTTAAAGTATTAAATATGCAACTAAGTGCAAACAACAATTAGCAAGAAATTCCTAAAAATTCTATAAAAATAAAATAATTAAAACAAATCTATTTTTGTGAATTTGTAGGAATATTTTTTGTCGGGCAAAAATCACGTGCTCACAACGACGTCATATCTGCGAGACTGAATTCACTATGTTGGGGTTCACTACGTTTATCTTGCACAATCTGCTGATTTGTCTGTATCCTCTTGTCTAGCTATAACTAGGATCTTCCTGAATCAAATACTAACTACTCGTTGGTCCATTATCATATTTATATTATGTGTAATCTCTCTTGGGTTATGTCCTTTGTCTTAACTTATCCCTCGCACTGGCTTCTGATGTATCATGTGTCCATTCGCACTTATTTATCAATAACATCCTGGCCGGGAACTCTTACTGCTTCTCTCCGGTATCATGCTTGCATAATGTTCTGGAGTCATATCATATCTGTAGGATCTGAATAGATACAATCTCATTCCTTTCACCTTTTTACCGCATTCTTCCTTTACAATTCCATAGTTACCTCTTCATCTTTGGTGTTTTTTTTTCACATCTTCACTGACATCTTACTCGCCTTGCAGTAACCCTTCTATACTGGGGCTAATTGAATTTCTTAAGCATAAGGGTGACACTTAGTGTAACTGGTACACTTAGTCCCTGTTATCATATCTTACTCATGATGCTTCAATTACTCTCTTCTTATTCTCCGGCTAATATTTTTGTCTATCACTTTATTCTGAAAACTTCAACAAAACGTTCTTTCACTTTTAGCTCCCCTTGCTTCATCTCACTGGCTCTTCGGGACGCCTAACATGTTTTTTTACTAGGGGCTGGAGTCATACTAAGGTAAATATTTATCCCCTCTAGGATCCCACTGCCTATCTTTTGAAATTTCTGAATAGTCTACTATTCATATATGACTGTACTATTCTACAGTTCACCATCTGGGTGTCTCACATGGAGATCTATTATCACATTTGCTCTATCCTTTGGAAATATTAGTTAATGATAACAATCCATCCACAATTTTGGGTTACTCTAACCCAGCTTGATCCTGATATCTCATCCTTCTCTTAAACTATATTTGTCAGCTCCCATAGGGCATAATTGAGATGGGTGTGGTCAATTGTATATATCTCTGTTACTGTTGAAAGTAACTCAGAATGCTTATATTTATCTGCTTGAATTGTAAATACGGTTAATCTTCATTAACTGGGTACCTCGTACCCTTATTCACCTTGCTTCTTTTACTTCCTGAAATTTATGTCTACCTTCCGATTCTCTTATTCCTTTTTACCATACGAGTGGATAGATATTCTTGCCTTAGGGATCCTTATCAAGAAGCTTAAATATTTTAGTACACACATCATCTACTGAAGACCTCACATTTACTCATCATAAGTATGATACAAAATCGAGTTCCTCTGACTCAACTCTTCCGCAGCCATATTCAATCTCTTACCAATTGTCTTTCTGGATGTACGTATCATTGTATTATGAACAAAATAAAATTTAGAAGTTTGAATTCTTACAACTGAGCTCTACCACACGATCTAGAGTAAGAAGAAAGAGTGACAGTCCTAAATACCCTGTAGCCCCCTGCTTATAAGTGTGGTGCACGGCACACCCATAAACAAGACTCTACTAGACACGGTTTGTAGACTCCCTAGGACATAACTGCTCTGATACCACTTTTGTCACGACCCAAACCGTAGGGCCGCGACGGGCACCCGGTGCCTTACTCAACCGAATACCAATATAATATATCTTTCTTATCATACCATCATGCGTAAATGGGCCAGAAGGGGCGTCATGAGATAACCAGAATAAAACAAAAGGGAATACTAGACATAGGACGACCCAACATGATATACTGACTTATACATATGACATACGGTCCTATAAGGCTGACATAATCTTTTGTATACTCAAAACATAGGCCGACAAGGCCATACAAGTATCCATATACATGACAGCTGTCTATAAGCCTCTAAGAGTACATAAATATCATAAAGGTCGGGACAGAGCCCCGCCATACTAATCAATACATGTCTAAATCATACTGACCAAATAGGCAACTCCGGAGAAAGTGGAGTGCACCAACACCTTCCGCTGAGCTGATAGTCTACTAGGAGGACTCTCAATCTGTCTATTGGGATCTGCGGGCATGAAACGCAGCGTCCCCAGGCAAAAGGGACTTCATTACAAATAAAGTACCGAGTATGTAAGGCATGAAAGTAGTATATAAAAGACATAAAAGAAACATGGAGTAAAGAACTCAACCTGTAATTATGAATAGCTATGTGAATCATGAAAAATTTATAATGTCATGCATGTGGGTATAAATGTCATACCATGTATAGGTATATGCGTACATAACGTCATCAAGCCTCTGAGGGCATCCCATCATATCATCTCAGCCACTGTGTGCGAAATCATTAACGTATACCAACTGATCAGGTGGTGGTGCGTATATAATGCCATAACCTTTCTCAATACCACATATACGTGTATATAACGCCATCTGGTCATGGGTCAATGTACATGTATAAATGAATGCAATGCATAATGAAGTAAGTCAATAAGATCTCTTGGAATGCCATAAAATCAATATGCCTTCGGATAAACTTTAGCAACTTACGTATTTTTCTGAGACCTGTGAACAAAAGATATAATAATAGGACACATGGGGAATCAAGAACATAGGTACCCCTAGTACTTCTATGAATAGAGTCATTTATGAAAGTTGTATGTTTGCTCGTTTCGTTTGTATCATATGGATCATGCCAAAAAAAGAAATAAGGGATAGCCTTAATATACCTTAACTCCATTGAGTCCTTAATACCTTCCAAGAAATTTTTTAAATAACTCAACTCAATCTACTATAGCATAAGGAGATTCAAAATCAGTGTTGAGTAAAGGCTAAATTCGCAACTTAAACTAGTAGCTCGTTTATGTAAATTTGGGCAGCATCTCCCTTGTAACAAGAGCCTCCTCCAATATCATATACCAACAACAATGACCAGAGAAATCCATCAATACATAATTATCAATAACAAGATACCCCACGACGAGCGGCAAGCTCCGATTGGAATCTGTATACCCCTTATCACTCCTTATAGACTTCTTAATTTAACTTAACAATATCATTAAAATTATAATGAAGTCATTCATAAATTATTCTAGCCTTATACCATATATCTATAACAAAGAAAACAATCCACAACTCCAATTATCCTCGAACCTCGATTAGCAACTTTATTCACTAGTTCATGTCTAGTCCATCCATTTAACTTAATCAATGCCAAGATAACCTTAAGCACATGCAAGAACACAATATAATTATCTCCTATAGTGGATGCAAGTCGAAATCCATGTTATATTTAGCTTACAACAGCCCAACACACCCTAATCACTTCATACCCAAAACGACAATTATAGTAGTGTCAAACGCCCTGAAAATGTTACAAAGAATGACTAATCCACCATTTCACCATTATGTGGAATTTATCCACACCATTTCTCCTCCATAAACTCCATTAAACAAAAGCAAAATATACAGCCCAAAAGCAACACGAAACAGCCCACAACACAGTCCACTATAAGTCAAATAACTCGAACTCACGGCTTCCGATCACCATCCCGTGAGTTCTAATAATTAGGAAATAAATTTATCAACCCTTCTTGATATTTAAAAGCTTAAATACAGAAAGTAGGCATTTTATTTACTATTAAATACCTTTCAAAACTCAAACTACAAAGAAAAAGAGAGGCGATATAGCGATACTTACGTCGTAGGGATCGTTTTAATGTTATCGCTACTTGATTTCGTGTCCGGGATGATAATCTTGCTTGAAGCACTTGTAAAGATCTTAAGGGTAAGGTTAGGGGTATTATTTGGTCGTGCTCTTTGGAAAAATGGAGAAAGATACGAGATAAGGGATGTAAATATCCCATTTTTTAAAAAGTCAAAAAGGTGCTACTTGGCACCCTATCATTAGCCCTTCTTCATACGCTTATATCTTTTTATCCAGACGTCGTATGAGTGAACGGTTAAGAGATTTGGAAACTATATTTCAAGACCTTCAATTTTGTATATAAGATGTCCCAAAAATACCTCATATAACGCACAAAATATATTGCTCAAAAAGCTTTATTACAAGGCAAATCCTTAGTCGATTTTTCCGCAACTTAAATCCGATTTTTCTCAAACTTTATATTTTATATCCAAACATCACATATAGTCATATCCTGACTTTAAACTCATTTAAATTATGAGTAAGAAGTCTCATATTTATCTTAACTTACTTAATACTTCGGTAAACCTTTCTTATCCATATAGAAGGATTTCGTCCTTTTTGAGCTTACATTAGATAATCCTATAATGACAGTGACGTCTAAAGTACGAGGTGTAACAACATCTTTCCTTAGGAAAATTTGTCCCCGAATAATAACTCTTAAAGGCTTGCAAAAATTGGACGTAACATCATTAAATCGCTTTATATACTTTCAAAGAGGATCTCATTTTCAAGCTTACATCAATTGACTTACGATGTACTTTCACGTATAAAAACATGGGGTATAACAATCCTCTTCCTCCTCTTCCTTATGATCTCAAAGTTCATGACCAGGAGCTTATGAAGGGTCGAGAGGTTCTCGCTCGGGATGACCTTGCAATCCATGCAAAGACCTCTATCGGACTTCCTGCAGAGTAAATAATCAATATGAGTCTCGGCCACCGAGTAAATAATCAATCCGTGCAAAGACCTCTATCCCATTTATGTGTGTGTGTATATATATATATATATATATATATATAAGAGACTGACAAGACATCCGTCGGATCTTGTTATTGTCACCATATCAGGTATGGGTGGCATTGGCAAAACAACACTCACCAGAAAAGCTCATGATAATCTCCCAATCAGGTATCATTTTGACATTCGTGTTTGGGTTACAATATCTCAAGAATATCGAGGTAGAAATGTGTTGTTAGATGCTTTACATTGCATTTTGAAGCAAACAAATATTGTCAAAGAAAATGATTATGATACGATGGATGATTGTGAGTTAGCCGACCTAGTACAGAAAAACCTAAAGGGTTCAAGATACCTTGTTGTTGTTGATGATATTTGGAGTGCGGATGTTTGGGATAGTAGAAGAGTTATATTTCCTAATTACAACAATGGGAGTCGAATCTTATTAACTACTAGGGAAACAGAGGTAGCGATATATGCAAACACTAGTAGCCCTCATGAGATGAACGTCTTGAATTTGGAAAATAGTTGGAAGTGAGTTGGAAGAAATTGGAAAGAAAATAGTAGAAAAATGCCAAGGACTACCCTTGACGATTTAGGTAAAACGGCCAGGACATTAATAAGTTGCAAGGATGTTGCCCAATCATTAGGTGATATAGTTTCTAGTCAACCAGATAAATGCTTAGGAGTGCTCGGTTTGAGTTATCACCACTTGCCTAATCACCTCAAACCTTGCTTTCTTCTATGGGTGATTTCCCGGAGGACTTTCAGGTTGAGACTTGGAGATTGATCCAATTATGGATCATGGAAGGTTTTATATGGACGTCTGGAAGGATGAGGATGAGGATGAGGTTGAGGAACCTTTTATATTCAAATATTACACAACATCCTGCAGTACTTGAAGTTTTCTCTCGTTTCAACCTTCTCAGGGTATTGGCTATCTTCAATGGTGTGTTCCATTCATTTCCACTAGCGATTACAAAGTTATTTCATTTGAGATATCTTGCAGTAAAATGTGGTGGAAACCTTCCTGCATCAATTTCAGAGCTTCAGAATGTACACACTCTAATTCATGCACAATTTTGTTCAGTTATAACTTCATTACCGGAGAAGATATGGATGATGAAGAACTTGAGGTATATACATCTAGAGAGAAACAATTACTTACCCAATCCTAGAAGAGAAAGTGTCACGCCCCAACCTCGGGGAGCGCGACTGGCGCTCAACCGAGTGGACCCGGTCGAGCAAGCCTGTTAGACATTATCTACCCGACTCACATATGATCCATAGAAGGCATGCTCTCATTAGTTAGGCAGTAGAAGGTTCATACATATATACATTACTAGGTCGTTTCATTTTATCACATCATTGTTAAGTTTCAAAATACATACATCCTTATGACTGAGTGGAACAAGAGCCCCAAATACAACATGATCCGTTGACCTTTCTAACACCCATATATAACCCACATAGTGTCTACAGAGCCTCTAATGATACAAAAGAGAATAAAGATGGTGCCGGCAACAAGGCCCTGGCTATACCTCAAAAAGTGACCACAATATAAATAAAAGGTGCAACACATGACCCCGGAATAAAATGGGGCTCACCGAGTCCGCTGAGAAGAGGATGCAACACTATCTATGATCAATATTGTCTACTATGTAACCACCTGCATCCATTTAAAGATGCAGCGCCTCCAACAAAAGGGACGGTAGTACCGTCGAATAGCACTAGTATGTATAGCTAAACACCATCTCGATAGAATGAATAATAATACAAGAGGAACATTCAAGAATTCAATAAGAGCTTCAAATAATTTTAAAACATCAAGTTAAGGATCACATAGCTTTTTAAATCAATTCCCGCATTATTAGGTTGGATGGTTTTTAGAGTCAATATGCCACAATCCATAATACCACCGTGTTCTTACACGGAGTCCGATCTCGGTCCGATCGGCTAAGCCATATCATTTGAGACATCAACCATATTCACTATTTCATTCACAATACCACTATATTACTACACGGAGTCCGATCTCGGCCCGATCAGCTAAGCCATCTCATTTGCGACATCAACCATGTTCACAATTTTACTCATAATACCACCGTGTTATTACACAGAGTCCGATTTCGGCCCGATCGGCTAAGCCATCTCATTCGAGACATCAACCATTTCAATCGATCATCTTACTTCATATTTCTTTCCCATCTTTTCAGCACATTGGCACAAGTGGCTTTAATTATAAAGTCGTTCTTGGCACTTGGCCTTATTTCATAATTTAAGTTCTTTTTCACAATCCAACATTATCATTATCATCAATAACAACGTGGTTTTCATTCAAGACTCTTGATTTCACATGTGAGCAATTTAGAATTCAAGGCACATAGAGGCTTTTCACACAATTTGGCATAATAGTCTTTAATCGAATTTGACTTGAAGTATAGGCATATTAGCGCATATTCTAAGTCTTGAACATTTTCTCATATGATGAGATAACATGATGAAAGCATGGGAATACATAATACACATATATTTGCAAAGCAAGCAAATTCGAGATAGCAATTTCTAGGACGTTTAAAATTGGGACTTACGTCGATTGCATGAATATCGTGGGATTCAATTCTAAGAAGAGGGGGTTTAGCCAACATACCTCAATTGAACCTCTTAAAACTCTAAGATGTTTCGGAATATTAGCAACATTAATCTATTTTAGCAATATAGTAAAATTGAACCCAAAATTAGGAAAACAGTCATAATTCTAGCTCACTTGAGCATTCTATCAAACACTATGTGTGTATTAAGGTTCCATGGCCCTTTTATGAAAGACTTCACCATCCCATACCCCATTATTTTCTATTTTTAACTCACAACCTCCCCACATACCTTAGGAACACATGCATGCAAGATAAGCACTCTCATCCCCATGAATTACCTTACTAATAGCCCATTCTATTTACATTTTAAAATTTAAGAGTTTGGGTGATAGAATCTTACCTCTTAGGAAGAAGACCTAGGTGCCTCTCTTGATAATCTTCAAGGTTTTAAGTGAGAATTGAAGAGCAATTTGATGAAGATCACTTTCTCCCTCTAGGACCCTCTCTCTCACTCTAAAAATATTAGAAAATAAGTTCAAAATGGTCCAAGGTAGGTGTTTTAACGGAATAGGGTCAGATTTGGGTGCCAAAACTGGAAAGGAACTGACCAGGTCTGCGGTTACTATGCGGCTCGCAGACCTGTTCTGCGGTTGCATAATGCACCACAGAACGGTTCTACGGTCGCATAGTGCACCGCAGAACCTCCCTCCGAAAAATCCCAAAGCGGGATATGCGACAAGAGTGAGGCTCGCGAAATGGTTATGCGGTCGCATAATGGGCAGCAAAAATGACATTAAAAATAGCCCAAAACACTGCTCCACTTTTAGGCCATTCTGCGATCCGCAAAGTGGTTCTGCGGTCGAAGAACGGGCCGCAAAAATGCCTACTTTTGCCCAATGTTTTCCTTCAACTCCCCAGTGCACTGTTCAATCCAAAAAGTCCGAATCGCAGCTCGCAAGCTTGCCGCAAAGAATTTATACTATTATTAACCTCTACGCCTACTTCGGCATCATAGAATCTAGGTTTTTATGAAAAATTTTACGAGGCCTTACATCCTCCCCCACTTAAGATCATTCGTCCTCGAATGAGGATTAAGGTCCACTATTAGCACCTTATGCAACTCAGTTTTTCATACCCCACACCAGCAGCCCCAAATTTAACTAACTCCCCAAATTTCCAAAATTTTTGCCAGAGTTTCCCTTGTAACTGGGCCTATCCACCAGTCAGAGAGCCCCAGAATCACATCCTAAAAACATGTACACAAACCAACGATGTAACATAACTTATAACAATACCAACTGTGGCTTTATGTAAACAACATCTAATCAAAAGGAACACCTTTACATTAACTGAACAAGTGATACAAAATTCATAAGCGACAAGTTCATAAAAAGGATTACACATATATTCAAACAAGTAAGGATACTTCTTCTTCATCTCTTCTTCGGCCTCCCAAGTGGCCTCTTCAACCTGCTGGTTTCGCCATAGCACTTTCACGGAGGGAGTTTCTTTATTTCTCAACTTTCGGACATGTCTATCAAGAATGGCAACTGGAATTTCTTCATATGACAATTCTTCATTAACCTCAATAGTCTCATCGGCACAATAGCGGACAGATCTCTAACTACCTTCTTCAACATAGACACATGGAATACCGGGTGCACTAATGACATATCGGGTGGTAGCTCAAGCTTGTACGCCACCTCACCGATCCTCTGAATGATTTTGTATGGCCCGACATACCTCAAACTCAATTTTCCTTTCTTACCAAATCGCATTACGCCTTTCATGGGGAAAATTTTCAAGAATACCCAATCATCTTCCTTGAACTCCAAATCCCTACTACGAACATCCGAATAGGACTTCTGACGACTCTGGGCAGTTTTCAACTGCTCCTTTATGATCTTAACCTTCTATATAGCCTGATGCACGAGGTCTGGCCCTATCAACTCAGCTTCCCCAATCTCGAACCACCCAATGGGAGATCTACATCTCCTACTATACAATGCCTCAAATGGTGCCATCTGAATACTCGCATGAAAGCTATTGTTATAAGCAAACTTTATGAGTGGAAAATGATCATCCTAGCTACCTTTGAAATCAAGAACACAAGCACACAACATGTCCTCAAACGTCTGAATAGTCCACTCTACTTGCCCTTCAGTCTGCGGATGGAAGGCTATACTAAGATTTACCTGAGTACCCAAACCTTGCTGAAATTTCTTCCAAAAATTGGTCGTGAACTGAGCCCCTTGATCGGAAATGACGAAAACTGGAGTTCCATGCAGCCTGACTATTTTCTTGATATACAACTGAGCATACTATTCCGCTGTGTCGGTAGATTTAACTGGCAAGAAGTGTGCTGATTTCGTGAGTCGATCCACGATCACCCAAATTGAGTCAAACTTGCGCGGTAATCCTACCACAAAATCCATATTAATCATTTCCCACTTCTACATTGGAATTTCTATACTCTGTGCTAACCCACCAGGTCGTTGATGTTCGGCCTTCACTTGCTGACAATTCAGACACCTTGCCACAAAGTCCGCCACATTTTTTTTATGTCATTCCACCAATAGATTTCCTTGAGATCGTGATACATCTTTGTAGAACCTGGATGCATAGAATACCTAGAAGCGTGAGCCTCGTTCATGATTCTTTCCCGGAGACCATCTACATTTGGAACACATAGTCGCCCTTGGTACCTCAGTGTACCATCATCCATGCCAAGTGCAAAAGCCATAGTCTTATGTTTATGAATCCCCTCCTTCAGCTGTACCAACAATGATCGTTGTATTGCTTCTCTTTGACTTCCACAACAAGCGATGATTCAGCCTTTTTTTGCACAATTACCCTTCCTTCACTAGAGTTCGCAAGACGAACTCCCAAACTGGCTAGCTGATGAACCTCCCTGGATAACGGCCTTTGACATGCCTCCAAGTGG